TTCTGGAAAGGTGTCTTAGCAGCTGTGGTCAAGGGGTTTAGATAAAAAGACAAGCCGTATTTCTGGGTCCCAGCAGGAGCCTGGCCGTGACCATCAGATTATGCCAGTTCCTGGGAACCTGAGAGAGGGTGAGCCTCTCCCTTTTCTGCCAGATGTTCTACACACACACACACACACACACACACACACTACTCCATCACTTCTCTGAGCTCCACCCCAAAAGTTCAGAATCAAGAGGCTTGAAGTGACATCCAAGCATCTGTCTTCTTACCAATATCTCCCCACATGATGCCAGCAGGCTGCCAAGTTTGAAGATGTTCGTCGTGCCAGCTTGAGAAGGAAGGACCCCCGTACCTCCAGACCCTTCCCTGTGTCCTGTGGGCAAGATGCCCTCCTTTTTCATCTGTCCTCTCCTCACCTGGACACTTTCAGTGCGTCACCCAGAGCCTCCACACCCCACAGCCTTTACTCCGTGGGCTTAATCCCAAAACCGAAATACACATGCCTGCGCAGACAGAGTTTTCCAGTCTGTTCTCTAAGGAAGTCCAGAGTGACTGTTCCTTTTTTAATTTCCTCCTTTACTGTGTGGCTCCCTGCCAGTCAGACAAGGCATGAGGTCAGTGTAGCCTGCCTGGCCAAGCCTTCAGCTGCAATATCCTGAAAGGAAGTAACACAGAGGTGGTTATTCAATTAAAACTGGTCTCTTTGGGCGCGTGTATATTAAAAGGCGTCTCAGTAATAATATGGTGGTGCCACTGATTATGACGTTGACAGCAGAGGTCAGACACGCGTATTATGTGCCGAGCACTCAGATGGAACTCTGATCCTTTCTCTCTTCTGCCCTTTGTCCCCTGCTGTTCCCTTCAGCCTTTTGTATCTGCCTGCCATTGTCTCTCTCCCATTTCTCCTCCCTCTCCCTTTTAGGAGTCTAGCAATAGAAAGGGTTTTATTACTTATTGTTGTAACTGTTGGGTCGAATTTAACAGCTGCATCTGATCCTAAAAATATAAAGCATCACTGTGTTTTATCATCTGTTTATAAATCACCCTCAGGTCATTGTGAGAGGCCCCAGAGCACAGAGTAGAGCTGCCTCTTGGGGTTTGTAGGCTGTGAATCTCCATGCACGCCAATTGCTCCCTCCTCCCGCAGTCACTGATGGGGTCAAAGCACTAGCCTTTCAGGTGGTGGTCAGCATTCAACCACTGGTGCCCTGGAAGTCCATGCCGGTATTCATACACCCCTCAGATACAGACTTCTTTGCCCCAAAGCCCTTGACACTAAGAGCATTCCTGTCTCCCTGCTTCATATTGTGAGCTCTTTGAGACCAGACAACACCCTGTTTCAAAGCCATGGCCAATGCCTTGGGGAGCCTACCCTGCTGGTGAACCTGATAATCACAGCAACAATGCATCGCCCTAAGAGGGGTGAGGAGAGACCTGGCTGGTGCAAACATAGGGCACTTGGGGACTGCAAAGGAGGTATAGCAAAGGTAACAGAGGTCCTACTGCATCGCTCACCCAGAGCGTCCCAGCCGTCTGGTGTGTGCGACAAGCCCTGCTGAATGGAGCGAGACAACCAGCAGAAGGCTATTCCTAGGCTTTCACGGAGGCTGTCCACCCAGACACCACAAGAGCATGGAAGAGCACTGACCGGATGCACAGACCAGAGCTCAGACCCTCCTCAGCCCTGTGACCACGTATGCTCCAGACAAGTTACGGTATCTCTCTGAAGCTGTGGCCAAAACAGAACCGAAAGCCACCTTGCCATCCAGCTCCATTCCAGCTCATAACCCAGTGGTCACAGAACTGCTCCATGGGGAACTCTGGTGGCCTAGTAGGTAAGGAATTGCACTGCCAACCCAAAGGCATGCAGTTCGAATCCACCAGCTGCTCTTCAGGAGAAAGCTGCACACTCCCCTCTGGCATGATTTACAGCCTCTGAAAACCTGCTGTGCGTCACTTATGACTCAATGACAGTGAGTTGTCATTAAGAGACTTCGTAGTGATCTTTACAAAGCCTTTCTTCTTCAGGGCTGCTGGATGGATCTGAACCACGAGCTTGAGCTGGACATAATAAACGCTGCTACACTGGCTGAGATTTATTGGGTACTTCGTATATACCAATCATGATCCCACCCCACTCCCCCCTTTACATAAGGAAAGTTGAAGTCAGTTGAGCAATTCACCCAAGATCCCACAGGCTGAGGGGAGAGCGAACACGTCACACACATCAGCGCTTGAGGAGTTAGGACACTGCCCCTGTTCAGAAGCTCACATTGCCAAGTCGATCTTTCCACGTCTTTGCTGATGTGCTAACACACCCACCCACCTGCGGTCTCCAGGTAGAGATATACGGACACAGGAACTCAGGCCAGTCTTTGCGCACGTCAGTGGTCCTGCTGCTTCTTGTGAAAGAGAGAAGTCAAGTAAAGGCTGCGAGTGGGTTCATCCAAGGTGAAGAGCAAGTGTACTCATGAAATCCCATCACTTCCCAGAAACAGAACAAGCTGACCTGGCTGGTGACTAACAGCGTTATTATGGCGCCATCTACTGGGATGTGTGTTTATTGCGACGAATTTGTGAGCTACCTTCTGGGGTCTGGGTCTCTGACTATTGGTTTTCTGTCCTGCCTGGGAACTTGAACAAGCAACGTAATAGGAATTGCCAGATATAGTTTTGTTGATGTTTTCCTACTGTCGGGTTATAGTTTTCATTTTGGTGTGAAACAACTGTTGTGTGGAAGAGATATAAAATCCTACAGAATAGATTCTTAAACTCACCCTGAACCATCCTGTGAACTTAGACTCAGGGATCCCAGGAAAGCGCTCCATGAACCTGTGTGGCAGCATAAGAGTGGCCTGGAGCTAAAGGGTCACCTGTACTTGGGTTTTGATACCACCTCTGCCAGTAGCACCTCAGACAGATGACACAGTATCTTGAGAGATGTCAGGGCTGAATCCTGACACTAACACACAACCAGTACACCCACTGATGTTGTGGACAGCAAGGCCACTGGACGGCAGCAAAGTGAACACAGGTGGCAAATGGCTTTCCGCCACTCTGAGAGCACACAGCATGGCCCCAGCCCCAGCGCTGAGTCATTCAATGCAGCTTTACACACAGCCCGGGTTTTCACGGAACCACCCTTCTGTCTGCTAAATTCTATTATTATTATTATTATTATTATTATTATTAATTATTTTGTGTGTAGCATCAAATCGGATCTGACTGGTACAGGAGGAGATTGTTCCTCCTTCTCCAGAAGAGCATCTGGTAGATTTGAACCACACAGCTTTGGGATTGCAGTGCAGCTTCTTGCCACTGGGCCACCAGAGCTCCCTGTGTTAGCGAAATTCTTAACTTACACAGGGAGCTGTTGGCCTTGACAGTGGCCAGCAGGGGGAGCTGGTCTGCACACAGGACGTGGGTTCCCTTAAAGCATTTTACTTAATAGTCCCAGAGGCATTCTGTGGCTTTATGAATATGAGGGGTTTTTTTTCCTCTCTTCAGCTTAGTAGTATAAAAAGATAATTTAAAAAATATATAAAAATAAATAACCAAGATTATTTCATTGTTGAGCTGGCAAATGGTGTGTTGCATATATTTTTACAGTTGAAAAAAGAGGTCATTTCAGGGGTAAGGGACATTATTTTGTTAGGAGACAAAATTGTCCTCTTTATGTTCGCTCAGCTCAGTTTATCAACATAAAAAGAGCAAAATAAATCACTACCGTAACAGAGGAAAATGTATCTCTTCCCTTTTGATATCATTCTCAGCATATAAAAACCGTTGATAAACTATATAAGTAAAATCCATTCCCCATCAGGCAGCTGAATTCCCATCGCCACTGCTGCCTTTAGGGAGTTCTGGTCACCTACTGGTAAGAAGTTACACTGCAGTCTTGAAGGCACATGGTTCGAATCCACCCACCAGCTGCTTCCCAGGAGAAGGAGGGGCAGTCTCCTCTAGTATGATTTCCTGCCCCTGAAATCCCACTGGAGGGTCAATTATGACTCAGTTCTGACCCAGAGGCACCCAACAACAACAGCACCAGCTGTCGGGGGGGTCTGAGTTTGTTCTGTTCCTTTCGTGCAGGGCGGCGTGGACCACACCACAACAGGGGAAGGGCCGCAGGCTGTATTCTGCTCCCTCATCCACCACAGCTCTATTTTTGTACTCTGACTTTTCTACCTATTCTGCTTTCGTTGTTAGAGGAGTCCAAGGGGAGGGGCTTGCATCTTTGCACCCTCCGGGGCAGTTTATCCCACGCAAGTGACCTGTAGAAAATACCAACTGGATGGCTGCCTGGTCGAAATCAGCTGAGTCCTAGCCCACCTTGTCTGCATCAGCATGCAGCCCAATCAGCGGGGAACCCCTGTGCCCCCCGTCTGGTTACTTTTCTATCTGCTGTTAAGTCCTAACTGACTCGCAGAAGATTCTCCAGTGGGTTTTCAGAGGCTGTAAATCGCACAGGTGGCAACCACGTCCTAAACAACGTGCCTTTGGAAACCCTGAACTTTGATAAATGTCTATAGTTGTAGAGGGGCTTCAGGGCTTTTGTTCCTAGGATTGTGCTCAACTTGAAGGCAGTCATCATCAACAACAACAGCAAATCACACAAGAGGAACTTGCCCATCTTTCTCTGTTAGTGTTAGAGCAGCTGGTGGATTCTAACTGCCTCGTGTTGGTAGCACAACTCCTTACCCACGGGACCACCAGACCTTACAAGGTGTTACGGACAGCCTTGTCACCTTAAGGCTTCTCCAAGCGAGAGTGAGCCCAATACACCCATTTAGTCTACACTCCACGTTGTCCACACTGGAAGCTGAAGGCAGTTCCTCTCATTACCTTTCTTTCCTTTTTTTCTTCTTTTTTTTTTGTTTTTTTGTTGTTAAATATGTCTTTTGTTTTCCTATTAGTTTATTTACAAAATTCAAATACAAATTTGAACAAATCCTCATTGCCTTTCAAGCTGAGTCTGTTTCCCCATCATTTCCGCAGAGGTCCCACTCGGCTTGTCCCATCAACGGAGAAGACACTCTGAAGACCGCTGCCCAGGAGGCCGGCTGGAGGCAGCTGTGGGATGAGGACCTGCACCCCAGAGAGGATTCCGCTTTGCCCAGCTGGGGGAGCACAGACAGACTGGACAAAACAAGTAACCATTTTAAACAGCATGTGGTGGGGCCGTGGGTGTAACAGTGCTGTCACAGTCTCATCCATCGCCTGGCTTGACAGGAAGCTGTAATCCGCCTGAACTGGCAGGTGCCCGCTGAGGGCAGCTAAGCCTCCTGGCCTCTCGCACAGCATGCAGGGGATGGTGGGGGCCTGTTTGCCACTGGGCACTTCCCCCCACCTTGGAGGAGGAATCAGGCTCATGATGGGTCTCCGGCATCGCTGTGCTCTGCTGGGAGCCTGAAGTGGGGGGAGTCTTGGGGTAGGGGCGCCACTCAGTTCCATGCCCCATGTCAGCTCTGTCCACGTGGACTGAGAGCGTGGGTCCACGTGGTCCAGAAAGCTCATGACTGTAGAAGGACAGCTGTGTCCCCAGGTCAGGTCCTTTCTTCCCAGTCTGTATGCTGAGCTGATAATGCAAGAAGCTGAACCATCTGAAGCAGAATATGGCATCCAGGTTGGAGGAAGTGTCATCAACAACCTGCGTTAGGCAGAAGGTACAATCTTGCTTGAAAAAGTAAAGAGATCTTGAAGAATTTACTGAAAATGTTAAAAATAGAATCTCAGTGTGGATTACGTACTTGAATCTACAAACAACAAACAGAGAAGCAACAGTCAAGAAATCAAGACATGTGATTGAATGAAGGAAACCCCAACCTTTCTGTAATCTTCCATTAAAATCAGAATAAAAATAAAATAATGTACTAAAGCAAAGAATGTCAGCTTAAAGACAAACATGCATCTGACCCAAACTATAGTATTTTTGGTTGCTTTCTTCGCATCTAGGGGTTGGATGGTGAATAAGGAAGAACAAAGAAGAATTGATGCTTTTGAACTGTGAGGTTGACCGAGAGTGTTAAATATACCAAGTTTGCAAAAGACTGACTAAAGAACAAATAAATCTTGTCTTTGAAGAAGTGTAACCAGCTTGCTCCTTGAAGACAAGGATGATGAAACTTCCTCTGGAACGTTTGACATGTTATGGAGCAGACCATCCTTGGGAAAGAGTTGTTGTTGTTGTTGTTATGTGCCATCGAGTCGCTTGCGCCTCATAGAGACCCTGTGTGCAGCAGCCCTAAACCCTGCTCTGTCCTGTTCCAATCTCACTGTCTCTGACACTCCCATCCTGATTACCCGAGTCACTGAATCAATCTACTTCATAGAGGGTCTTCCCCTCCTGTGCTGTCCCTCCACCCTCCCAACATGATGTCCCTCTCCAAGGACCTGTCCTTCCTTACAACATGTCCAAAGTATGTCAGATGGAGCCTCAGAATCCTTGCCTCCAAGGAGCAGCCTGGTTTAACCCTCTCCAGGATGAACCTGTTTTTTTTCTTGGGAAAGAGTAGGAGTAGTAAAAGAGAGGAAGGGAGCTCTGGTGGCCTAGTGGCAAGAAGCTGCACTGCAATCCTGAAGGCGTACAGTTCAAATCCTTCAGATGCTCCATGGGAGAAGGATGGACAGTCTTCTGTGCCATTAACGGCCTCAGAACACCTGCCGGAGGGTCAGCTATGGGTTGGTTCCAACTTGATAGTTCACTACAACAACAACAACAACAGAGAGGAAGCCTCTCAAAGAGGTGGTTTGACACAGTGACAGCTACGTGATGAGAATTGGATGGGTGTCAAAGGAGCAGATAGGGTCTGATTGAGATCTCTTGTTTGTAGAATCATTAGGACTCAGGACTGACTCAACAGCATGTAACAATGGCATCATAGAATAAAATCAAACAAAGCAACCAAATCCAAACTTAGAAATGAGCAAATTTAGAGGATAGATATTAAGAGCCTTCATTTCACAAACTACTTCCCTACTGGATTGTAAGCATCCCCTATAAATTTACAGGGGATTTTGGTTTTCAAAACGTAATTTGGGAGAAAATGCAACAATGAATGAATGGAAATAAAAAATATTTGTAAATGTTCATTAAAATTAATAAAATAAATTTTTTTTAAAAAAACCATAATTTAGCACACAAGATTAAGCATCCCTGGTAATTTGTTAATTGCATATAAAGATAAAGCGTCTCAGCAGTATTACTAAAAAGACTTCACAGTCTCTTCAAAGACCCAGGCATCTCTCGGGATGCAGATTGAAATAAGAAACAAAAAACACATAGGTAAAACCCCACTGGCTTTCTGAGGAATGTTCAACCCTGGGCACACTGAAGTGTCCACACCAGTCAGGGGTCTTACGGGATGTCTGATGATGTTTCCCCAAAAGACCAAACCACTCGTGGACAAGTCCATCTCGACTCTTGGCACAGCTGTGGATATTGTGTGTGTCTGGAATGTTTAACAGGAGGCAGATCATTCCTGTGAATGTTCATCATTCTCAGCAAAGCAGAAATGTTGAAGAGAGGAGATCCTATCTTGGAGGTAGAGATCACATTAGAAGGTTAACATCCAGTAGACTCTTTTTAACAGTTCTGTTAATGCCTGATTATGCCCCAGGAGAAAGGTTAATATGAGGTCTCTAGGTCCACTGTGTGGTCAGCCTAGGGAGAGCGCACTGTCAACAAATAAAAATCAACTCATTGGACCCAACTCCTCGCTGACCCCTCAGTGGGTTTTCAGAAGCTGTAAAACACAAGAGAGGAGATTGCCCATTCTCCTCCTGAAGAGCAGCTGCTGGATTCGAACCACCTGTCTTCAGCTTGGCAGCTCACCTCTTTACCCCCTAGGCCACCAGAGCTCCACAGGACAGGTAAACCACAGCAACCCCATTCTCAGTCGTAGCAGTGCTTAGAGTAATGGATTTTCCCAAAGCACTTTTTCACTGTCCAGACCTTGGTCACACACTAGCTCTATGGTCAGTGAGGGGGAGAGGAAGGTCAGTTTAGACGGAGCACCTGCTCTTGAGATGCTCAACACGAGCTGTCCACACACAAGAAAGAAAGTGGTCTCCTCCAAATCCGAGGCCCTCAGTACTCGCCTCAAGACAGCCCTCCAAGACTTATGGGGTTTGGTTTTGTTTTGGGGTTGTTTTGGAGTGTGTGGGTGGGTGTGCGTGTGTGTGTGTGTGTGTGTGTGTGTGTGTGTGTGTGTGTGTGTGCTGTCAAATAGGACCTGACTGGTACAGGACGAGATTGCCCCTCCTTCTCCAGCAGAGCATCTGGTGGATTCGAACTGTGTGCTTCTGGGATTGCAGTGCAGCTTCTTGCCACTAGGCCAACAGAGCTCCCTGACTTCTGGTTTAAAGACTAAACAAAACAGCAGCTGCTACTGGTAACTGCTGTGCCGGAGGCCAGCGGTCAGGCCCAGAGGCCCATCGCTATAGGAGACACCACACCATCCTGTTCCCACTCACAGGCATATGAGCACAAAACTTTTTTTTTGTTCGTCTTCAGCAAAAACAAGACCAAGCAACTGTTCAACCTGCAGACCAGCCCTGGGGGCTCCGCCACATGTCACCGGGGATGCTCTGGACTGGCCTGGGTCCGGGTCTGCCTAACCCAGAACCATGACAAGCCACTGAGACCTGCACCAGCCCACCCTGACACCATACTGGAAAGCTGGCTTCACTTGCCGTCTCTAACTCACCTACAGTCTCCCTTAACTTGCAGTCTCTAACCGAGAGGTGCCTTGGAGTCTGATTGAATGTATCCCGTCAGCTCTATCACAGGCTCTGTGAACTTTGACTCAGCTTCTCTCTCTGCTCCCTCATCTGTAACGTGAAATTGGTAACACCAACCTCTTTCTGCCTCAGATCCTCTCCCAAGAAGAAATAAGTTGGAAATAAGCGTGCATGCCCATGTGAGAGGCTGCTGTGAGGTCTGTAGAAGGCCTGGGCAGGTCTGCCAGCGTGGCCGTGGGGTGGAGGCCAGGGCAGGTGGAGAAATCATTTTCTGTCTAGACAAGGGCCTCTGGGAAGCCAAGAGACAGCAGCATGGCACGTGGTCAGAGCACTAGAATCTGGGGCTGCCAGTTCCAGACCACTCCCCTCCCCTTCTCCATCCAGACCAGCTGACCGTGGAATGGTTCCTGGGCACTGAAGTGAAGGTTTGCCCAGGACATGAAATAGGAGTGATGTGTCCAAGTTCCTTTCTATCTGTGATGCTCCAGGGTGCTCTGCGGCCTTCGGGAAGTTCTCGGGGCCCCCTGAGGCCTGGCCTCTGACTAAGTGTGTCTTTCTGGGCTTCCTGTAGGCAGCTCCCCCAGTGCCCAGTGCCAGTCATGAGGAAGGTGACAAGTAGAAGGCCCGCTTTCCTCTCAGATTCTAACGAAGCCCTCTCTGGTTTCTCCCACTGCAGACCTGGCCCCAGTTTTGCAGAGCCCCGATGGGAACTGGATGGCTCTGAAGGAGGGCGCCCTGCCCCCCACTCGCCTGCTGACCAAGCCCAAGAGCGGGACATTCGAGGCTCTAGAGGCCGCCTCCAGCGTGGTGTCCGCCTATGAAGAGATGGGCTCCGACAGCGAGGAGGACTTTGACTGGAGCGAGGCCTTGAGTAAGCTGTGCCCGAGACCCCGGGGCCTGCTTGCTGACCCCCAGCCTCAGCCCGCCCAGGCCCGAGGCCCCTCAGCCGCCTCCACCTTCTCCTCACTCTCCCCCAACCCTGAGGCCGCGTGTTCGGACTCGGAGACCTCCTCCGCCGGCTCTTCCCGGGAAGCTGGGCGCCGGGCCAGGCTGTCCTGGCGGCAGAGGAAGCCCCCCAGGAGCCCCCCGGCAGAGAAGATGCGGCTGCAGGGAGAGCTGGACGTGAACTTCAACCCCCAGATGGCCAGTGGGGAGACCTCAGACAGCAGCGAGCCTGAGGAGGGGCCCCCCACAGCAGACCGGAGGGCCAGGAGGTGGAGACGGGCCCGGGTGGGCTCAGAAGAGCCAAGCAAGGAAGCATCTTCTCCCAGCGCCCACCCCCAGGATGTGGCCCTGCACCAGGTAATAGAAATGTACCCCAGAAGCCTGCACTGCTCCAGCCCGACGGGCACAGTGTCCCAGGGCTGGAAACCACAGACCCAGCCAGGTTCGAATCTTGGTGTCTTAGGGAGCTCTGGTGGCCCTAGTGACAAGAAGCTGCACTGCAATCCCAGAGGTGCGCGGTTCAAATCCACCAGATGCTCTGCTGGAGAAGGAGGGCCTATCTCTTCCCGTACCAGTCAGATCTGATTTGGAAGTACACACATTAAAAAAAATAATAATAATAGTAATAAAGAAAAAAGGCAAGAATCTTGGTCTCTTGCTGGTAAGTTGTTAAGTGACCCTGGACGGGTTACGTGGACCCGCTTCTGAACTGCTGCTTCTTTGGAAAACCATCTTCAAATTCCAAGTGTGGTCGGCCAAGTGTGGCCAACAGCATCGCACCATCTGGATGTTGTTAGAAATGTATGTTTCTGGGCCCTGTCCAAGACCTGCTGAATTAGACCCTCTGGGGCTGGGACCCGTGGTGTTTCACCAGCACTCCCGGTGACCCTACTGTGCACCAGGGTTGCAGAGCCAAGGGCTTAGGGTGAAGGTGAGGTGGAGGGTTGGCCTGCTCGGGTCACAGTCCCGCTGTGTGACCTCAGGTAAGCCATCTCTCCAGTTATCTATACCCTGGTCCTTGTTCACCGCAGGATGGGTATAATACTAGAACACACCTCAAGAGAGTGGCTGGGACTTGGTTGAGATGAGATTTACAGAGTCCTGATGACACAATGATTTAAGCAGAAGGTCAGTGGTTCGAAGCTACCAGCTCCTGTTCAGGAGGTAGAAATGAGCAGCTGGTGATGCCTCTAAAGACTGACCACCTTGGAAGCCGCTTGGGGTTATTCTCAGCCCTGACGGGTCACTATGGGTTGGAATCAGCTCACAACAAGGGCTTTTTATTGCCATTATTTACGTTCTGTCCTAGATGAAAGCTTGAGACTCATTTGTTTCAAGTGTGATCTGTTTCTGACAGTGGCGTTTCTGTGGCTCTGCCGCCATGTGTAAGGTCGTGAATCAGCCCCTTTGAGCAGGAGTCAAGCTACGGACTCTAGTCCTCGAAAAATGCACCTGTAAACACAGAGGAAGAGAGGGAGACCCCAGCAAGATGAGTTAACACTGTGACTGGGACAGGGAGCCTGAGCGTGTCCGAGCTGGTAAGGAAGATGCAGGAGAGGGCCGGATTCAGAGGTGTCGTTCACAGGGTCACGGTGAGCCGCAGGCAACCTGATGATAACAGACAAGAGCAATCCTGAGAGAGAGAGAGAGAGAGAGAGAGAGAGAGAGAGAGAGAGAGAGAGAAGACCCTCAGCCAGGTGGATTGACGCAGTGACTGCTGCAGTGGGCTCCAGTGTGTCAGATTGTGAGGACAGCGCAAGACAGGACAGGGTTCAGGTCTGGCGTTCATAGGGTTACAGTTAGGGTCACTGTGAGTTGTGCTTGACTTCATGGCAGCTAACATCTCTCTCCTCCTCCTCCTCCTCCTCTCTCCTCTCCTTCTCTTTCCTTTCCTCTCTCTTTTCTCTCTTCCTTCTCCTCTCTCTCTTCCCTCTCCTCTCTCTCCTC